ACACTAAGCACTGAATCCTAAAGGTAAAATGAATAAACAAGACAGTGTGTGTGTGAGTGTGTTTTCGTATTAAAAATTCAAAATAAAACACTAAACTTGTGTGTTTGGTTGTATGTGTTAAAAAATATTTTAAATAAAATAAATAAAACAGTAAGAGTGTGTGTGTTTGTTTCAGTGTGTGTGTGTGTTAAAAAACTATTCAAAATAAAATAAATAAGACTGTAAGAGTGTTACAATTAAAGATAAACAAAAAAAACAGTAATCGAATCAATCTGTAATATGGTGTTAAAGCAGTGCACTCAGACTCATTTTGCTCATCATCATCATCATCATCATCATCAAGTCTCATGTAAATAAATCTTCACATTTAAAAACAGTCCACTAATTAAAACAGAAGAGGGGATCTGGGTTTAAACTTTGAATTAGCAACGACATCAGCTGACATCTTTTCTCTGAAATGATTGGCTGTGTGTGTCATTTAGACTGTGACCACTGGGGGGCAGTAAACACCCACCATGACGCGCAGAGTCCCGAAGTCCAAGCAGTCCTTTAATCCCAACATTGATCCCCCCATATATATATAGACCTATTTCTTTAGCATGCTATTCAATAAACAGGAGGGACATGTTAGAGATTGGTTTTTTTCTTATGACATGTCTTGTGTCTCCATTTTCAGTCATGCTGAGTTGAGGTTTTCCATCAAGCCCAAACACATTTAATCCAAATGTTAACCAGGAGACTCAGATTTTCAGATGTGATTCACCAGATTAGTTAAAGTTATTCTGGCAGGTTTATGCAGAGTATAGGCATCTTGTTTGGATTTTAAAAAATATATATATATCTCTTGTACCTTCTCAACCGCTATTCTTTTACCCGCGTCACTTTGGACACCTCGCCATAACCCATCTACTCCTCCAAAACTACCAGGATGGGCAGGAGTGTAATCTTCTCTCCTCAGTAAGTTTTCCCTGCCATGGGTCATCTTCACACGTTCTGATGGAATGAAAGGGATGGACGCTTGCATTTGGGTTTTTTTTTTATTAACATGTATAGTTAAACAAAAAAAATGCACTCATTTAACAGGATATGAAATGAACACTCATTTTTAGTATGGAAAATAAAAACATTTGGTTAACAGGAAATCAAAAACTGATGAATGTGACGGGCAGTTAGAAATGTCTGAATGGATTCGATAAATCGTGCATTGTAAGATTCTTTCATCAAACTGTGGTAATTGCAGTCAAAAGAGTCATCCTTAAGGACGTCCTTACACTGATGCTGTCTCAGACTTGAGTGATTCACCGAACAGCCGTAACAGGGTTCTTCCTGGAACATTCTGATGGTTGTGTTGAGCAGATGGAGCACAGCGGTTTTAACAGCTTTGATGAACCCAAAACGGACCCATCCCTCGAATTCATCCGCTCTAGCCTCCACATCCTCCAGAGGGGGCATTCCATGCCCGGGTGGAAGCTCAGAGTCCTCCAGAGGGGGCATTCATTGTCGGGTGGAAGCTCTGAGTCCTCCT